GTACTCAGGCTTGTCATCTGCTTGCCTGTATAGTCATGCGAAAGATTAAGTACCTGAAATAGCTTATCCTTTCTGAATAATATGGGAATGATTAGGCAAAGATAAAAAAAAGTTTGGGAAACAAAGCTATGAATTTAAAAATTTGTGGGATGGAAATCAGAAACATCTTCATTTTGGTTTGGAGAAGATAATTTCAGTGCAAACAATTTTCTTTTTTCTTTTTTATTTTTTTGGTGGTGAACCTCAATGTTTTGTACTCAGAACTAGATAAATCTAACCAAAAACTAAGCAAGAAAGAAGTGAACAAAATTTTAGAAAAGTTACATATGAGAGAACTCTGGAGAAAACTGAATGAGAATGGAAAGGAATATACCTTTTTCTCAGTGGCACTTTGCCTTATATCCATTATATTATATTATTATATATTATGTTACGTCACGTCACGTCACATTACGTTACGTTACGTTACGCTACGCTACATTACATTACATTACATTATATTTATTATATTATATTATATTATATTATATTATATTATATTATATTATATTATATTATATTATATTATATTAGCTGCCCCTAATAAGGCTGTCCCTAGCCCACATACATGACTGAACTATTCACATTGCCAAAATAACCTCCGACCTTTAGGGCACTTTACCCATAGCAACAGGGCAGCTAAGTGGCACAGCGAATAGAACACTAGGCTTGGAATCAGGAAGACTCATCGTCATGGGTTTAAACCCCCTGCCCAAACCTCACTGCTACCTCTAGAAGCCAGAGCAGAGATGGAGCAGTTGCCATCTGGGAAATGAGTATACTAATGGGAGGGGGGGAAGGGAGAATAACTTCATAGTCTGTGCTAGGTAGGCGTGACCTCACTTGTTTTGCACAACTGCCCCCTAGAAGGATGTATTATTATCCCTATTTTACAGATGAGAAACCTGAGACTCAGAGAACTTAGGTGTCAGAGATGGGCTTTGAACTTATGTTTCTTCAGTCTCCAAGTTGGTCATTCTATCTGTTCAACCACAATGTCACCTTTTCTTTTTTGTAAATCAAACAATCAAATCAGTAAATACCTACAGAAATCAATTCAGTCCATTCACTGGAAGATCAAATGCTGAAGTTGAAGCTTAAAGACTGTGGCCACATCATGAGAAAATGGGATGCATTGGAAAAGACCCTAATAATGGGAAAGATAGGAGGCAAAAGGAAAAGGAAATGGTAGAGAATAATATGGATAAATAGTGTCATACAAACAATGAACATGAACTAGGGCAGACTTCAGAAAATAGTGGAAGAAAGAAGGGCCTAGCATGTTGTGGTCCAAGGGGTCAAAAAGAGTTACACAAGATTGAATGACTGAACAACAGCAATGAAGGAGAATGGCTATGAGAAGAAGTAGGTGAAACCTGGAAAACTTCCATGGAAGAAAAGGAGTTCCTACTTTACGCTATTACCACATACTAGGGGCAGGTATAGGACTTTCACCACAGAAGGGTTGGAGTTTGGGGAGCTTGATGATTCAACAATCCAATTATCCGGTCCTAACCTCTCTGCATACAGCCAACCTCACACCTCCAACTGTCTACTGGATATCTTCAGTTGGATATTCTGTAGATATCTTGAACTTAGCATGTCCAACACTGAACTCACTATCTTACCTCACCCCCCCAAAAAAAATCCCATCCCTCCTTCCTACTTAGCCTGTAGCTGTTAAGGGCAGCCCAGTATTGTCAACATCACCCAGACCACCCAGGCTTGCAAGCTAGGGGTCATCCCAGATGTCTGACACTCTCTCACCTCCTCATACCCAATCTGTTGCCAAGATCTGTCCATTTCCCCTTCCTAAAGTCTTCTGAATGCCCAGTTCTCTCCTCTAGCACTGACAACACCCTGGTGTATTAAATTTAACTAAAATTAATTAATTTTAATTAAAATTAATACTTTAATTCACTACTGATTGGAGAAATGCAAATTAAAACAATTGTGAGGTACTATCATACCTATTAGATTGGCTAAGAGGACAGAAAAGGAACAGGACAGGTATTGGAGGGAATATGGGGAACATGAGACATTAATGCACTGTTGGTGGAGTTGTGAACAGATTCAAACATTCTGTAGAGCAAGTCTTAACTATGCCCAAAGGGATATACAACACTATGCATACCCTTTGATCTAGCAATACCATTACTAGGTATAAATCCCAAAAGAGATAAAAACCAAAAAGGAAAAGGACCTATATGTACAAATACATATGTATATATACATATACATATATATACACACACATCACACATACACACACACACACACACACATATTAGCAGTTTTCTGGGGGCAAAAATTAGAAATTGAGAAGATGCCCATCAATTGGGGAATAGCTGAACAAGTTGCAATATGTGATTAGGATGGAATACTTTCATACTATAAGAAATGATAGGGGCAGCTAGGCGGTGCAGTGGATAGAACTCCAGCCTTGGACTCAGAGGACTCAGATCTGCCCTCAGACACTTGACACTTACTAGCTGCGTGACCCTGGGGAAGTCACTTAGTCCCAATTGCCTCGGAAGGAACAAAAAAATGATGAGCAGGATCCTCTCAGAAAAGCCTGGAAATACTTACATGAGTTGATGCAAAGTGAAATGGACTATGCACAAAGTAACAGCAATATTGTAAGATGATCAGCTATGAATGACTTAGCTATTTTCAGCAATATAAAGATCCAAGACAATTCTGAAGGACTTATGATGAAAAATGCTATCCATCTCCACAGAAAGAACTGGTGGTCCCTGAATACAGATTAAAGCATGCTTTTTTTAAACTTTATATTTCTTGATGGTTTTTTGGTCTATTTTTTCTTTTATAACAAAACTAATATAAAAATATGTTTTACATGACTAAACATGTATAACCTATATCAAATAGCTTGCCTGCTCAATTGGGGGTGGGCAGGGTGGAGATTGAGGAGGAGTAAGGGAGAGAATTTAGAACTCAAAATTTTTAAAATGAATGTGAAAAATTGTTTTACAAATAATTGGGGAAAAATAAAATACTAAATAAATATTAACAACAACAACAACTTAAGTGGAGCATCCCACAGAACCTTTACATCATGTGAATTTACCCATGAAGTGGAAAAGGGCAGGAGGGAAGCAGGACGGGGACTGCACCCCTGTGGAGGAGGGGTTGGCACATGGTTCCAGGACATGTGGAGCCTGGACACTGAGAAGCAAGAGCAGGAGGAGGAACACACGGCTGGTGGGGCCAGCCACATGAGGGCCTGGCTGGAACTGAAAAGAAGAACATGCTGGCAGGCAGATACATGAGGGCTGCACGTGGAAACATTCAGGATAGGACAGGCCACATGTGGTGGGGACCAGGGATAAACACACTGTACACCCACATGGATGGACAAAATACCAAAATGCAGGGACCAAACTCTCAGGCAGGTGGACAGACTGAAACCAAGGTCTCCTCTCTCAGCAGTGGAGGTCTCAAGCCAAGTCCCGATTCAGCAGTGGTGGTGGCCGTCTCTCTGCAGGTCTGTTCTGCTTTCACTTGGAGAATTTTTTTAGCTTTTTCTTTGGGGTAGAGGGTTAGTGGTGGTAGGAGGCCACAGAGCACCAAGTTGAGGGACAGGAGGAGAAAGAGATCCCAGTACAGTATGGTAAAGCATAGGTGTTTTCTTGGAATGCAGATTTCTTGTAGAATTCCTTACATGAAGTCCAATTTGTATAATGTAAATTTCCATAAGGCACTATCTGTCTGTACTCCTTTCTATCCTCATTCAGTCTTCTCCAGAGGTCTTTCATATCTAAGTTTTGTAAAATTCTATTACTCTTCTTAACTTCTTTGTTATTCATTTTATGGTTAGATTTATATAGCTCTCAGAGCGAAAAGTTGAGGTAACCCACTATTATAGTTTTCCTGTCTATTTCTTCCTGTAACTCATTTAATTTTTCCTTTAAGAATTTGAATCCTATGCCATTTCCCAAATATGTTTACTACTGATATTACTTCATTGTCTGTCATTCCTTTGAACAAGAGGTCGTTTCCCTGCTTACCCCTTTTAATAGGGCTATTTGTGCTTTTGCTTTGATCTCAGGATCATGACTGCCACCCCTCCATTTTTTAATTTAGCAGAGGTATAACAGTTTCTGCTCCAGCACCCTATTTTAACTCTGTGGTTCTCTCTTTGTTTCAAGTGTGTTTCCTGTAAAACAAACAAACATATTTTTGGATACTGCTTTCTAATACATTTTGCTATCCCCTTCCACTTTATGTGTGAGTTCATACCATTCAGTTAGGATGAGAACTATACATTTCCCTCCATCCTATTTTCTTCTGTTTCTCCTTCTCTCTCTCTTTTTATCCTGTCTCCCCTCTCATTTTGGTTTTGCATATGACCACTGTATTCTTTTATCAGCCTGCCCTTTTATCACCAATTTTTCTTTCTCTTTTACCATTCTCTTAATTACCTCTAGAGTAAGATGGATTCTTATGACCAATTGATTAAGTATATGTAGATACAGATATAAAATAGATATAGATATTTTCCCTTTTGCGAACCAATGTAGATGTGTCTGAAGTTCAAGCATTGGCCACTCTCCCCTGTGACCTTTTTCCACTCCAGGGTAAAAGCTCTTCCTTGAACACCTATTTTATATGAGATCATTTCCCCTATTCTTTCTCTCCCTTCTGCCTTCTCCCAGGGCACCCACATTTCTCACCTATCCCTTTATTTTACATCATCCCAACCTAACTGGCTTTCTATATAAAACCTTCTTTTTATGTAAAATCCCTCTATCTGCCCTAATAATGACAAAATTCTTAAAGATATGCTTATCCTCTTCCCTTATAGAAAAGTAGACAGTTTAACCTTATTGAGTCGCTTATGATTTCTCTTTCATATTTACCTTTTAATGTTTGTCTTGTATTTGAAAGTCACATTTTCTCTTCAGCTCTGGTCTTTTCATCAGGAATGCTTCAAAGGTCTCTACTTCATCAAATATCCATTTTTCCCTCCATGTGTTTCTGTAGAGAGCAAGCCTGTGGTCAGTAGAAGGTTCTCAGAGTGTGTGTCTTCAACCCCAAATGTCATGTCTGCTGAGTGTTCTGAGGCTAGGTGTGCTTCCACAGAAAGTAAGCTCGTAGTAACTGGAATGTTCCCAGAGAGAGTGTTTCCTGCTACAAGTATCTTTTTCTCTGAGTGTTCAGAGAGTAGATGTGTTTCCACAAAACGCAAGCCTGTAGTATCTGGTGTAAGAAAGAGACTGGAAAGCCTCTCTGGGCAAAGAAACCAACCTTGACTATGGGAAGCAAAGGTGGGGTCTCAGACCACACTGGGCAGACTATAGACCCCACCAATGCTTTTCTCAAAAGTTGGTTTCTTTACCTGGAAAGGCTACCCAATTTCTTTCTTACACTGGAATGCTCCCAGAGAGAGTGTCTCTCCTGTCACAAGTATCGTTTCCTCCAAGTGTTCAGAGACTAGATGTTTTTTTCCAGAGAGTGATCCTGCAGTAAGTAGAATGTTCCCAGAGAGACTGTCTCCTGCCACAAGTATCTTTTCCTTTGAGTGTTCAGAGAGTAGATGTGTTTCCACAAAATGCAAGCATGTAGTATCTGGTGTAACAAAGAGACTTGAATAAATAAAATAGATAAACCATTAGTTAGCTTGATTAACAAAAAGAAAGAAAAAAAGCGAATTATCACTCTCAAAAATGAAAGGGCAAATGCATAATCAAAGAAGATGAAATCAAAGTAATGCTTAGGGGTTATTTTGCCCAATCACGTGCCAGGAAAACTGACAATCTATATGAAATAGATAAATATTTATGAAAATATAAACTGTCCATGTTAACAGAAGAGGAAATAGAATACTTAAATGATCCCACCTTAAAAGACGACGTTGAACAAGACATAAAAGAGTTCCCTAGGAAAAAATCCCCAGGACCAGATGGATTTAAAAGTGATTCTACCAAGCATTTTAAAAACATTTCATCCCAATACTATGTAAATTATTTGAAACAACAGGTAAAGAAGAAGTCCTATCAAATTCCTCTTATGGCACAAATGTGGTTTTGATATCTAAACAAGCCTGTGGGAATATACACACACTAATACATTTTTGGTGGAGCTGTGAAATGACATATCCGTTTGGAAAGTAATTTGGAATTATGTGAAGAAAATAACAAATATGTCCAGTCCTTAAAAAAGGATTCCGTTACACCCCAAGGAATCCATTAATAAGAAAAACTTCCCCATATACTCCAAAATACTTATAACAGGGCTTTTTGTGACAGCTATGAATTGGAAGCAGAGCAGGTGTTCATCAACTGGGGAATGGCTAAACAAGGCAAGGAACACGAATATCATGGAATACTGCCACCACGCAGTAAGAAATGATGTGTGTGATGAGTACAGAGAAGTATGGAAAGATCTTTGTGAGTTGATTCAAAGCGAATTAAGCAGAGCCAAGAAAACAGAATATGTATGCATATATATATACATATGTGTGTGTACATAGATATAGACATATAATCATTTTAGATCAATTGAGCCCCAATAAGGGCCAAAACCCTAAATTAATCTTTTTCTCTCTGAGTGAACTAAACACCCCCAGCAAATTCCAGGACCAGATAGAACTGATCATCATTCTTCCTGTTTGTTATCACTAATCCCAGGATGTCTGGGACCAGATACTCTCTTGAATAACGGGACTTTTCTTATCTTGAGTTTCAAATGACACTTTGACATTCTTCTGTTTTATTGTATTCACAACCTATTCAATTAAGAAAATTCCTTTCCCATGCTGTATGTTAAACAAACATATGGAGGCTATGTTTTTGTTAACATAGACATTCTGAGTCTGATCACTCTAAACTGTATAAAACCTCTCTCATTTTGTTTAATCTCTGAGCCAGAATCACATTCTGGCTTCTATGTACATGACTCACTAGCAAAAAGGGAATAAACTATATAATCATGCATCACCTAACTTGTTTGACTTCTTTAACCAAACTTTCAGGTTGACAGCAAATATACACACATCTATTCATACACACACAGACACACACACACACACACACACACAGAGTAACTAAAATAACTGAAATGGAAAAAATGACACACAAAAAATTAAAAGTACCTGTAACAAAATATTAAAGATCAAGTGGGACTGAAAAGGAAACATTAGAAGACACCATCACCCTACCCTGTTCAGGATGTGAGAGGTCCACAAGTGTTACACATTGTACACCTTTTCCACATGCATCAATCAGTTGTGCTCATTTTTTTCCTCCCTAAAACAAAAGTACAATTTGTTACATGGCATGGCTCTCCAGGATGGGGAGACGGAGGGATACATGGGATACCTTGGTGATGTGAAAAACAGAAAACATCACTAAAAAAATTTTTAAGGAGGCTAAGCATCTCCAGGGTAATAATGGAGGGCAGGAGGAGGAAAGAAAGGGGTTTGGTTTAATGACTATCAGTAGCAGATGTTAAACTATACTACAAATCAATGATTATGAAAATAATTGTTCTTAATGATTCTAATTTCCAAGATTAAGAGCCATTCTCCAATAGGGCAAAGGAAAAGGGCCTTTTCAAAGGAAGAAATCCAAGCTACCAATAGCCCTATGACAAAATGCTCTAAATTCCCCATAATGAGAGAAGTGCACATTAAAGCAACTTTTTTCTTTCAGTCTGTAAATCATAGAGATCCGCAAGTTCTGGGACAGTCCCCTCTTACTGTTCTATGACAAGGTACATGGAAATGCCCCTTTCACCAGATGCTGGTTGAAACCAGAACAAAAACAAATACACAATTAAACTAATGACACCAGAGGGAGAAGGGAGGGGAGGGAAGAGTTCTAGACTGTCTCCCCTCTCCCCAGCCCTGAGGCCAGGCCAAGGATGAGAGGAGGGAGGAAGAAAGGATGGAAATGTCCACCTGGGGAGGGGATGGAAGGAGTGTCCCCAAAGTCTTCTCCCTGACGGCCTCCACTCCACAGCCCCCCAAGTCCCAGACCTTCATACCAAGGTCTGGGCAGGCAGGAAGCTCCAGGCAGGAACAGCCCTGGAGGAGCAGGTACACACGAGTACACACACACACACACATAAGTACATACTTACATACACACATACACACATACACACACAACACAAACAAGGGTATTAATACTCCCATGACCGCCCCCCCCCATGCACACACAGCCCCTCGGCACTAAGACAAGCCAATTGGTGGTGGGGGAGTTCAGGAGAAGACAGAAGAGAGGGCAGAAGAGAATATAAGGGGGAATGCAGAGGGGCAGGGGGAGCCTTGGCAGGAGGTGGAGGGGACGCTTACCTCACACACAGTCACGCAGGAAAGTGCAGGAATTTCTGGGATCTCTCAGTTGACGTTGGGGGTGGAGGTGTGGTGGGGGCAGATAAGGGCAGGGGGTTGGGGGCGGGAAGATCTCCAGCTGCCCCCACCAGATTCAGGGGAAAAGGGAACTCCCTCCTCCGACAAAAAGCACTGACCATGGCCAAGGGTAGGGGGGCGGGTACAGTGACGTCACAGTAGCGTAGTGGAGTACATACTTAAAGCACAGGGAGGAGGAAGGAAAAGAGGGTGGGGCTCTGTGATGTCACGCCCAGAGGAGTGAGAGCACCCCCCCAGTCTTTTCTCTCAACTCCCATCACCCAGCCTTGGGGAGGGGAAGGAGCCACAGTTCTTGGAGGAGTGCCCAGGACTGAACCAGGTCCCACTTTCCTGGGGGCAGCTGCTGGGGCTGGGCGGAATGGGGTGGGACGGCTGAGCTAAGCTTGGGGCTGTCAGGGTTCAGCCTCTTTATGGATAACCTGGAGGGGGAGGGCTGGGATGGCAGGGGCAGGGTGTCCTGGGCTCCACTTAAGGGAACAGCCCAGTAGCTGAAGCAGCAGCAGCAGACCACCAGCCCCTGAATGGGACTTGGATTCCTGACAACCGCCAGAGCAGAGGAGGAAAGGGGCAGTGGATAGAGCTCCATCCTTAGAGTCGGGAGAATCTGAGTTCAAATCCAGCCTCAGACACTTGACATTAGCTCTGTGACCCTCTGCAAGTCACTTAACCCCAATGCTTCACAACAAAAAATAAAAAAATCGTTTCAAAAAAACTGTCTAATTTCACCTCATGAACATTCAGCATCCACTTATTGGCCTGATTGAATTGTTTCATAAAATACTTGTCTACATCCTACTTCTCTAATGTGAGAAGACCTTATCCCAATCTGACCATTTGCCGAAACGAGTTTTCAAGGATTTACACAACAGCTTAGGTCAAATGAGATATCAACAGATATAAAAAACATCACTTCAGCACCAAAGACACTGGAGAGCTCTCCCAGATATCCTCTCAGTAAACCTCCTAATCTGGCAATACTCACCTATGCATCAGAGGGAGCCCAGGGGGAGCACAACCATGAGCAACTAGGTGAGGCAATGGTTAGAACAATGGGCCTGGAGTCAAGAAGTCTCGACTTCCTGAGTATAAATGGCCTCAGACACTTAGTAGCTGTGTGACCCTGGGCAAGTCACCTAACCCTCATTGCCTGAGTTTCCTCATTATCAAATGAGCTAGAGAAGGACATGAGAAACATTGCAGTATCTTTGCCAAAAAAAACCCCAAATGGGGTCACAAAGAGTCGGACACAATTGAAAAATGACCCAACCAAGCACAGCCATACTGTAATTCTACAAAAACATCATGTGTACCTTGGTCAGATCCACCCAGATCCACATTGGTCATTTGTCGTTACCACAGACAACAATGTATGCTGTATCATCATCATAGAAAAAAGACAGATGCATTACAAAATCTAGGTCCAGGGAGATCACTTCCCAGAAAACTTCATTTTTCCTACAGCTGCTTTGCTCTGTTATCAGAATAATGAAAGGCATGACCCAAAATGTTATTTCATTTCTTCTTCCCAATCTCAAAACCATTGACAGTGAATTGGTAAAGGGCTGGTGCCAAATTCACCCAGGTACTTTTAAATTTCAATTCCATGTCCTGTGTGATAAGACTAATGTGTACCAGTATTTCTCCTCAACATGGGTTCCATCCATGCCTCTTCCTTCCCTAGTAAAAAAGCATTTAGTTTCCCCCAAAAGGTGATAAAGCTACTCCTGGGGCCCCAAGGCAATCTTTTTATACTTCTCTAATTAACTCACTATCCCACTCACTACTATGGCTCTTCAGAAAATTGTTGCCCCTCCTCAAACCTCCTATGTCTTCTCTGTGCACACACCCACCCTCTCAGCTGAGAACCTTGCCTCATATTTTACTGAAAATATTGAAGTCATTCCCCTAGAGCTCCTTCTTCTCCCCTCCTCTTCCTCTCCCATCACTCAGATGTCTTTTGTCCCTGTCTCCTCCCCCAGCCCTGTCACACACATAAAGATGAGCTTACTCCTTCTTGAGCCAAACCCCTCTCTACCTGCACAAGGGGTCCCCTTCCAGCCCATTTCCTCCAGCAGACTGCCTCTATCATCCCCATTCTCTCACTTCAATATCTCCCTGTGTACTGGATGCTTCCCCCTCTGCCCACAAACACGTCTATGTCTCCCCCATCCCTAAAAAGTCTCTCCCTGGATCCATCCATCCTCTCTAATTATCATCCCATATATCACCTCCCTTTTGTGGGTAAACCCCTTGAAAAGGCCATTTACAATAGTCACCTCTATTTGCTTTCCTCTCTCTTCCTAACTCTCTACTATTGACCTTCTGCCCTCATCATTCAACTGAAACTTCTCTCACTGATGTTGCTAACCATCTTTTAGATGTCAAATCCAATGACCTTTTCTCAGTCCTCACCTCTCCAGATCACTTTCCAGCCCTTGACACTGTTGTTCACCCTTCTCTTGATACTTCTGTCTCTCTGAGTTTTTGTGACATTATTCTCTCCTGGATCTCCTTTTAATCAGTCAGCAAGCATTTAATAAGTGCCTATTGTGTGCCAGGCACTGTAGTAAGAACTGGAAATACAAAGAAAGGTAAAGGACAGCACCTGCCCCAGAGCACCACACCATGGCCAAGCCATCTCAGTATCTTTAGCTGGATCTTCACCCAGGTCATGCCTGGTACCCATGAGTGCCCCACTGGGCTTCATCCTGAGCTGCCTTGTCTTCTATCTCAATACTCTTTCACTTTGGTGCTCTCATCAGTTCCCATGGAGTCAAGGATCATCTCTATTCAGATGATTCTCACATCTTCTTGTCCAATCCAAACCTCTCTGATGGCCTCCAGTCTTGAATTGCCAACTTGCCCATTAGACATATCCAACTGGATGTCCTGTAGACATCTTAAATTCAACATGTCCAAAACAGAACTCTTTATATCCCTCTCCCCTCAACATTCCTTCCTTTCAAAATTCCTTATACCTGCTGAAGGTACAACCATCCTCTCACTCATCCAGGCCCACAACATAAGGGTCATCCTTTACTCTTGACATTCTCATCACCCTTAAACCAGCATGTTGCCAAGCATCATTCTTGGTACATAAGTAAGCAGTTTAAAAAGCACAGTGTTTTCATTCCTTCATTCACTTGTTCATTCATTTACTTTTCATTGTCAGCCTGTGTGCTTGTCAGGAAAGCTGATACTGAGGGTGTAGGTGGGGGTAGATTGTCAAATATGAAATTCCCATTTTATCAGGAAGGACGAAATTGGAGGGGGAGAACAGGTCAGGAATATGAACGATCTTTAAAGGTATGTGAAGGAGCTGCTGAACAAAGGATCATTCTCCTATGCCCGTCCTTTGGTGACAGAGTAAACCCATCAGAGACTGAAGTTTCCAGAGGATACAGGAACCAAGTCTTCAGCTGCATGGCAGATCAAGAGAGTGAGGTCTCCTAGAGGGCATAGGGTTGTGTAGCTACGCCATATATAGCTCTTCCACTGTGAGTGTGTGTGTGTGTGTGTATGTGTGTATTTCTGTGTGTTTGAGTGTAGAGGAGGGTGTGTAAGAATGGGTGGCTTTGTGCTAGAGAGAGAGCAGGAGGGAAGTGGGAGAGCCCAGTCCAGCAGAGACAATTCCCTCTTTTCCTTTCTCTCTCCTCCTACCACACTTTCCTCCCTCTGCCTCAGAACCTCAACATACTCCCTGTGATCCTGGTGGAGACCCTAGACACTGGCTTCTGCCTCATCTCTCGTGGACCTTTTCCCTCTGGAAAGGAATGATGAGACTTGTATTCTTCCACTTTTTAAGAGCCAGGTTTATTGAGTTTTGTGTTACTCATACACATCAACACTCCATCAATAGGATGTTCTTTTCTCTGAGGGCAGGGACAGTTTCCTTTTTATCTTTGGACTCCTAGGACCCAGAGCAGAGTGTGGCATGTAGTATGCTTTCAATAAATGTTTTTTGGCTGGAGTCAAGATGGCGGAGTAAAATGGTAGTCACTCTCAAACTCCACTATGAACCTCTGAAAACCCAGAAAATATCACCCCAGAAAAAAAAACCCTGGAACAGCTGAACTAGAAGAAAGACGGGGAGCAGCAGTGCAGCAGCCCAGCAAAAGGGTCTCCCAGTGCCTCAGCAAAAATAAGGGAAGCAGAACTACAAAGGGCCTGAGGCAGATAAGCACCCTGCAGCATTCATCTGAAAGGAGATGAAGAAAGCAACCTAGAGTCTTCCTAAAGTCCCAGGCTTGCTGATTGTATCCCAACACCAGGTAAGCTGTCAGAACCCTACAGCCTCCAACTGTCAACCAGGAGGAGATCCTAAAGCCCAGGTGGTAGAGCAGGCAAACACCAACACCTGGACCTCCCAGTGCCTCAGTCAGGGTGGGGGAACTGGTGGAAACCAGCTCAGAAAACCACCAGATGCCTCAGCACTATACCTCAAAGGAATCTCCCAGTGTATTAGCAGAAACAAGGGAGGCAGCATTGCAAGGGGCCCCAGGCAGATGAACACCCTGTAGCACCCATATAAAAGGAGCTGAAGAAAGCTAAAGGAAAGGAAAAGCAGACAACCTAGAATTGCCTGAAAGTTCCAGCCTTGCTGATTCCAGCCCAACACCATGTAAGCTGCCAGAACCCTACAGCAATTGCCAACATAAGAGGCCCCAGCACACAAAGCCAGTGACCAAGACCTAGGCTCCCAACACAAGAAGCTTGGGTCAGTGCCCTCTCTTCCTCTGCAGGAGAGCTCAATCTCTTTAAAGGCCAGGGAATAAAGAAACCATGAGTAAAAAGAAACTTACCATAGGTTCATATAATGAGAAGAGTGAAGATCAAGACAGAAATTCTGAAGAGGACAACATTGTCAACAAACCCACATCTGCAACATCAAAAGGGAATATGAACTGGTCTGAAGCCCAAAAAGCCTTCTTAGAGGAGCTCAAGAAGGATTTTAAAAGTCTAATAAGAGAGGTAAAAGAGTACTTAAAAAATACAATTGACCAATTGGGAAAAAAGTACACTGAAGAAAACAAGTCCCTAAAAAACACAATTGGCAAACTGGAAAAAAAGTACACTGAAGAAAACAAAT